TTTTTGGAAAAGAAAGTCAAATCCACTATGTTTCTATTAAATCGTCTAGTGGCAAAATAGAGAGAATTGTCGATATCCAGTAAATGATTGAAATGCTATTATAGATGTTTGCGGACATAGAGTCACATGCTGGAACCAATTCTTGAAGTTCTTTGGTGTGAAAAATTAAGGAAGTTCAAATCTAAATTAAACATTCTCTGAATGTGGTCTTGAGTTCCACGATTCTCAAAAATTAAAAATTTGACAAATACTGCAATGCTTTTAAAATGATTGATTGGCGATGAGTACGTTTCTGATATTTACAATGATACCTGTGATAGCTTTTTATAAGCACCAAGGCAACTCTTTATACACAATACCATGGAGTTGACATTTTAAACGTTTTGGCGTCTGTGTATTCAGACAAAATTGATACTCTATTGTTAAAATTAAAGACAATTAATGAAAAGCATTCCAAAACATTACAAAGCTCCAAAGGCCAATGTAACAAAAGATCGCCCGGTTGGTTCCCCATATATATCAATATTGCCTTTAGAGTACATGTATATGAATCAAATATATAAAAATAAATATATAGTACATGTAAAGTAAAAAAGAGAACGTAATTGTAGAGTAGAGAGCATACAATAATGGACAAAAATTTACTCTAGCTTAACGCTGGATTGGGAGATGTGCGATTTCTGGTCCCGTGTTCCTTCGGTTATATACATGTCTGGAGTTTATTCTGAATTTATTTACCGTTAAAGTATTTCAATTGCATTTTACACACGACCAGCGTGTTCTTTTATATTTAGTTCTACGTCAATTTGAAGACAATTGCAAGTTTATTCATAATTGATATTTATTTTTCTTTTATTCACATACACCTGTTCAATCTGTAACTAGCATAGCAAAAGGCCGTCATGAAAAGCATACAGGTGGTTTAACCCGTAATCAATTATACATAATGACTTAGAAATACTATTTGCTTCCGAAAGTAACTTGAGTGTCGTTAAATCAATTATTACACAAGTACTAATGATTTATTCAAATATAATTTCACTTTTTAAGAGGAAATGTGGCTACGTTAAGCTGTGTACACTTTATGTTTGATATATTGGCGTGCCACGCGACCGTTATGCTGGACCCTTCTGATTGATAGCAAATACATGTATACAAGAAAACAATGAAATGTGTCAAATGTATAATTCCTCCTTTTAGATTAGTTTCTCAACATACGAGGGTCGTATCAAAATGTCGAATTGTGAACTAGTAGAATAGAACTAGGAGAATAAGTTTCCCGGATTGAACGGTTCATGAATCAGAATAGATGATTAGTAATTTCCTTAAACGCAAGATTGATTCTTTTGATAGAGACGCTGAGTGTATTAAGGGATGCAGTGATAAGTCGCAGATACTACATCTCGTATCCTTAGTGGTATGATATGATCCATTATATAGGGGAATTTATTACATATAAGAGAGATATCGCAACTCACTTATAGCATGTTTATTATTCCCGTATAACGTATAACTTATGAAGCGTTTGATTACGCCATCATTTATTGCGCGACTCTACACGTCCATAAGTGTGATATTCTTACGTATAGACGACGGTTTATAAGAATATCATACTTTTCTATGTAAAGAGCTGAACGCCATAAATCATGATTACGTTATATACATTTTATAGAAATAATAAACGTGCTATAAGTGAGTTGCGAAATATTTCTAATATTTTATTTATTGGTTATTGGCGTAGAAATATTCACTTTCAAAATATTCAAGTGGCCATCCGTAAAGCATTAAAACATTGACCCTCGGTAAAGTGTAAAACATAAAATATATTGTTTTCGGGAAAAGAGTAGGACAAAATAATATAATAGTAGGCGAAACACTTTTTAACTTCTAATCCGTTTAAAAGTATGTATTGTACGTCTAATATATTTTAGAACGAGAATTGACTCATTTACTCAAACATTAACATTCAATTTAAAAATGTTGCAAACATAGACTAAGTGTACACAGCAGTGCATATATGGATTTTAAACATTTATAGGGGCATTGGAGCGAACATCGATTTTCGGATTCTTGTACACGTTTCAATCTCCCAATGTATGTAATATAATGTTCAATTTGTTTTTTCATCAGTTCAGTGAAATGAACACTAGCATTGTATGTGTATTCACAAGTGTATATGTCATCCCAAGTGCACGTGGTGGGGACAATTGAATGTACACTGCCAGAAAGTGGTAGCAACGACCTATTTACGGAAGAAAGTGACGTCGTCCATCTTTAGGTTCTAACAACTCTTGCTGTTTCTATATTGAACTACATATTCGAACATGACTGTATTCACGCCTTCTTTAAACTGTAAACAAAGTCAACATTTCACCCGGGGTATATTCGCGAACAAAACCCCTGGTAATACGTGCAATGTGTGACGTCATAACGGTGGGCCGTAGTAATGGCGGACCATAATGAATATTCGAAACATTTTGGTGAGTTTTCATGTTCGAATCGTAATATAGACCTCAGAGCAGGTGTAATATTGTCGAATACACCCCTTAGGGCTAGGCACAAAAGCTTTTGAACCCCTCACTCCCTACAGAAAACTTTTGTGCCTAACCATGCGGGGTGTATTCGACAATATTACCCCTGCTCTTCGGTTTATATTTCTTAATTCAAAATGATTTATATTATTTATTGAAATGGGAGTTAGATCTGGATATGTGTTTTCTTAAAGCTACAAATCAATGAATAGATGCCATAACGTACACATTAACATTTGCAGCTCGTAATTTATGACGTCACGTCACATTTTCAAATTAACTTGTTTCCTTCTAACGTGTATCGCTCTGACATTACTCCCCAGTCTGCGACCGCATGACTAAATGGAAAGTGAAAATACACATAGGTAAAGGTCAAATTAGTGGGGTTTGTATAAAGGGAACTGGTCTTTATCCGGTCTCCCACTACTTGACGAGCCCCACTCCATCTGTTGAAAAGAAGTTAAAAGTCGAAGGCATCCTTTTGAATAGATATTTTAGATTTCTAATCCTATAATTCATTATATCCAATGTTATATAATTCGTAAAAGAATATCATTTCATGCAGAATATTTGTTTCTCTTCTGTTTGTGACAAAATTATTTCTCAAATTATATATGTTAGATATACCGTTGTATAAATACGTTTTTTTTATTTCTAAGGACTCTACCACATCAATGGACGCATAATTTGTTATATCTAATTAGTAAGCTCGTAGGAATAATATTCTAGCTTTTAAGGGAACATACGTTTTTCTGATTTGATTGCCCCCAAGTTAATATCAATTCAATGGGAATATGTTGCGATTTAAAATTCTGGTAAAAGCTTTATTAAGATAACATCTTTGAGATTTATTCATTCCAAAAGTTCTTAATTCAAATTCTGGGTTAGGTTTATGTGGAGTAATTTGAGAATACTAACCTGATTGATTTGCTATTAAAAATAATATTATCAGTTTCATCTTTTAATTTTCATATTACCAATTCGGTTAGTTAATCTAACGCTAATCTGAAAACAAAGGACTTTTATTTTGAGAATAAAACCAAAAATATAAACTTCAATTGAACGTATTGCAAAATCGTAATAAAAGTAAAGAAATACACACCGGTCTCTAACATAATGAGTAAATGTTATTTTCCTAACGACGTGGAAGAGTCTTCTATTATGATTTAGAATTACTATTTATTGTGAGAAGCCTAGAGCTATTATACCATTTAATAAGCAAATTAAAGGCAGTTGCTTTATTAAACATAAGTTAATGTTATTGTTATTGATTCTGAGGCACTGAGGAGGAAAACGAAGTGAATCTGAAGTGGTAGAAAGTCTTTAATAGAAAATCCAAACACTTCATTAGTAGTTTAAATACACCACTAGAAACATCTCGCCCCAAGGAGGACGTTTGCAAGCGGTAGACATTCTGTGATTACATTTTAGAAACCATTGAAATATTTTATTTTAAGTTAGCATATCTACCGGCGTACACTTGCTTTTTAATTGTAACCACCAAATGTTCTTAAAAAATCGTAACTTCACAATTACAAGAAGACTCTTATTAAATGTAAAAAAATGTAAGTCAAAATAAGCGGTTTTGATTTATTTTGTGTGAAAAAATGATAGACAATTTATGAGAGATGTTTTTATATTGACAACTATGGCATAATAGAAACGCGCATTTGTTAAAGGGGAAATATTAAATACATTATATATAATATCACAACATTCATAATGATAACATATTTAGGAAGACATTATGTTATATATGTGATGTGATATTTGGCTATAAATAGTGCTAGACACATGTTTTTTGTCTTATTTCATTTGATTTATATGAAGAATGAGCTACAATCAGTAAATCATGAATCCTATGAATAAAACTGTTGACGTTTGGACATTTTATTGTCATCAGACCACAAAAGAGGAATCAGATGTACATACAACTATGTGAATTATAAATGATCATTCATAACATAACGCGAATGAGTTTTTATCACCGTCAAGAAAAAAATCACACCATTCTAATCAAAGGTAATAGAGTAATAGAGTTAGAAGTTTACGGCTGACAAAAAATATCATGATATTTTTCATTTAATGAAGGTTCTATAACTACTTTGTTAATTTCTAAACTCTCATCTCTTTAAGATTAATGATATTTCATTGAAACTGTAAATAATCAGTATAGCGAATAAAATGTTAATAAATAATGTAAACGCATGTCTGAATTAAATAAACAGAATGAAAATAGACACGCCCAGTTTCCTTATTGGGAAGCATGGCACGTGTCTGGCGCACGTCTAAGAAGTAATAAAAACATTGTAGTTCTTCTATCCGTGGGCTTAGATACATATATTGCTAGCGCTTACTTAGGACGCATCTTTCCATTTTTCTAAGATTTGTTTATTATCGATGCAATAAGTAAACAGCATGTGAAAATCACAATTATATAGATTTGTAATAAGGTGTTAAAATTGCCACCTCTTGTTTCGCTTAGACGACAAGCAAGCGTTTGAAACACTGGGTGGTGTGTATCACGCCGAGCCTGTTGTTATTTGATTGACAGGTGAAATCAACCAAACAATAGAGAGGCGGAGCTTATGGAATTAAATGTGACAAATAAATGCTTGATGCTTTGGGACAAACTATCATAATATACTCAGACTCAACTAAGGTGTGACACGGGACGAAACTTCGGTGCTTATATGTTTATTTGGATAGAGCACCATTTTGAAGAAACGCCAACCATCATAATTAGTAAACATCGTACCACGCATGATAATACGATATAACAGTAAACAGAACCGCTGCAGAAATAAAGGTAATGTCTATATTAATTATTTTAAAAGTAGCATAATTGAAAGTATTGTATAGTTTATAGCTTAATGAAAATGATTCCATTCAAGTCTATGAAGTTCTTGATTCACCTGTTCTGTTTAAGACATTCATTCAACAGGTCCAACTACATTAAAGTGTTCTCTTCTATATAATCAGCTGTAGATTGAACTATAATAGATTACAATGCAATTCATGTTGTATAGAAATAATAGCATCATTTAGATTCTATATATTTATTGATAAAACCCAATTAAGATTAAAATATAACCGCTCTATGGTTAATCAGGAAGTTATTTCTGTAATTCACACAATGACAAAGCAATAAGCATACATATATAGACTATGGATAGATGAAAACAATCATTCCAACCTACATCGCGCTATTTTTATGTTGCAGGTCTCGTAACGCTTGCTTACAAGATATCAATTATACAAGATATACGTCACAATTGACAACAGAAGCATAAGTTATATTTTGACATTAAAACGCAAAGATGTCGACATCGTATTTCGTTGATGCGTTACTATTGAAGAAACCGACGCAAATGTCTTTACAACGAGAACTTTCTACGGCAATGAGTCGACAAAGTCAGATAACTCACTTGCCACCACCAGCGCATAACCATACTCCGATGCTCCCTGGCCAGCCATTGGCGTGTTATCCGAGGCGACCGTCAGAATTATTTGGGGGTTGCTGTCCACTTTGCATACAGACCCCAGGTGGGCATTTGATATGTCCTTCAAACGCAGCATCCAATCTTTCAACGATGAAACATCTCCTGCCCACATCTTCAGCTTCAGCTTTGAGCTCATCGTCGGGTTTTACGCCTCGTCTCCCACTGGCCATCAACACAGTGTCCAGACTACCGTCGCGGAGGGATTCCCCGTCACCGCCAGAATATAGTGCAGTTGATACGAGAAGAATCCGTTACATGAACCTTGGAAATATAGGTACTGTAGCTCATTTTGAAATATGGTATTATAGTTTTTGAATTGTGACAATAGTTATTAAATGATGAGGGAGAGCGTTGGGCACTATTCTTGTGCGTCAGACATTTTCTGACGGCGTTTAAATACATTTGGCGTTTTCCCCCTTCCGCACATGTGCTATATATTTGTAATCTTTGGCATTTAAATGCAGTATCTGAAGTACAGTCAGGAGACCATTTGTTAACTGTTTATTTAACGAATATGGGCACTAACAAAAACGTACTGTTAAATAAACCAGTGCACTCCTTCAGTCATAATGATACCTTGATGGATCAAGCTGATATTTGTGTGTCTGTATATTTTGATAAGATTGATCAGCTTTTCGTTAACTTTTTTATTCCGTTGCTCTTCTTTTGATTTTCTAATATCGCCAATTGTGACAAATACATATCATCTTGTAATTTTTAATTCGCCTATACTAATTGTAGATATATGATGAATTACTGGGGTTTTTCTACCGACCAGGTATTTGCATTTGCCAATATATCTCAATAAAAATGAATGAGCAGTTTTAATGAATGAATAGCAGATACGAGTATTAATCAGCAGAGAATTAGACGCACAATATAAACAAATCCCTGAACATAAAGCATACAAAAATGTTGAATTAATTAACAAACAATGACTTTATAACATTCAGCGTATTTGGCCGCATACAATACTCTTTGTAAAATATAATTTAGACAATACAATGTAAATTAAAATCTGGTATAAACTGTATGAAATGTATTGACTGCCTGAAATGGAATCCTGAAACAAGAAATATACCACTCAAATAAACAAAGAAATAAACAAACAAACAAACAAATATAAAGTAGATATGATTAACGTGGCTTTGTGGTGTTCTTATATCGCGAGACTAATTAGAATTTTTAAAACTTTCAAATATTAAAGTGACAAGCATTGAATATCTATCATATTAGTTCAAATATACTTAAATTGCATTTCATTGCCTGATTATGGTGTTCCAAACCCATGACGACGTAATCCAGGCAGTGACGTCAGTTTGATAATCTCCCTAGTAACTTACCTTTCTGCCCCCACCCCATGCCCGATTCCGACCGAAGCATAAAACTGGCAAGATATTGGTTTAAAATTTAGATTTCATGGCAAATGATAATTAAAATTAAAGTTTATGAAGATTAACATCCTAATTAATCTTCGATGAGTCATTAGTTTTCCACAAGAATAAACTTTGTGATTTTTAACGTCAGAAAAGATCGAGGGTCAAATACAGTGACATATTCGGCTGGATGGAAATAGCGTTTTCGAAACAATGTGAGATAAATTGTTTTTAATAAGATAGTCTTTGTGATTAATGAAAATTTCAATCCGGGAATGAGTTTTAATGATTACTCACAAGTTATGATGTGATAGTGCATAGGACTAATTAACATTTAAACATTGACGTTGCAATTGTTGAGTATATTAATGAAATGCCACTTAGTGAAATCCAATTCCATGCCATGTAAAACATATCATGTTTATATGAAATACAAGTACTTTTACAAGATTTAGATCACAATTTGTTCCCAAAACCACGCATGCGCCTCAAAAAGTACTAAGAATTTGCATGCGATTTCCGTCTAAATCGTTCAACTTGGAAAAAGGCATGAATCATTTTATAATTTTTTAATAATGCTTGTCAATGAAAGTTATTATTTACTTTAAATCACAAATATTATTTGAATATATTTCTGAACAAGGGGACTGTATGATAGTGTCATGGACCATTGCTTATGTAAATCTACCAACCAAGTGGAAAATATACTTGGTTAAGATCAACTTATTAGAACAGTAATAAACGATTATTAACTACGCTGGAAGTCCATTTACCGTTTTGAGGAATCTTTTATATTATTTTTATGCCAACTTCCATTGTGTTCTATAAGAAGTTTTATTTGCTTCTATGGACTCGCTTAGTTGCACACAATAACTTTCATGTGCGTAATTTGTCAGCTTTTGAAAGACGTTAAGAAGCAAAAATTAATCTAAGATACGTTACTAAAGAAGTAAAATAAATAATAGAAAATGATTAAAGTTATTTAACATGTTTTATATATTTGACAGTTATGCAAATTCATAGAAATACGAAGCTGAAACAATAACTTACAACTCAATGTTAACGTATATTAAAGGCCTACATTAGAAACATTAGAATACCACGTTCCTTCTTCATCTTAGAAATACACGTAACTAAGGAAATAACTGTTGACCAAGCACTCTGGGTTAACATCTGAAAGCGAAAGGACATGTATTTTGAAGGTTCAATGATAAAACTAGAAGTGTGTACGTCAGAATCATTCAAATATTTCACACGATGTACAATTGTTTTATTACGTGTTTTTTAGGTATGACACGTGATTCCTCCGACGATCTCCCGAGTGGAAAGAGAATCCGCACTGCGTTCACGAGCACACAACTTCTTGAGCTTGAACGAGAGTTTGCGTCGAACATGTATCTCAGTAGGTTGCGAAGAATAGAAATCGCAACGTATCTGAACCTGTCGGAAAAACAAGTCAAAATATGGTTCCAAAATAGGAGGGTAAAGCAGAAGAAGGAAGGAACTGACGAAGCGCCAACTCACGACAAATGCCGATGCCTAAGAACCTGCGCATCTAGAAATGAAAAACAAGATATTGAATGCCACGGAAATGATTGCGAGAGTGTAAATAGTCCCAGTTCAGAAATTGATTCAAGTGACATAAATTCATCAGACATTAGCCAAGTATCTTCGCAATCTATAACAAAAGACAGTCAAATACCTGTAGACATTAATGGTTAAATGTGAACCAAATGACACTGAATTACGGTTCAGTTGTCTGCTGTACATAATGTATATAACATGGTGTTCTGATCGAGGGTCCGTTATTTATTTGATTTGTATATACAATTTTTAATTTCAATTGAACATGCTCATTTTTTCAAAAATGCAATGCAACTAATTAGGAATGAGACGTAGATCATAGAAAGTGTATAATTTGTGATTAATTAAAACGATGTGCCTTGGTAAATACAGCTGTATATAGTAACAATGGTTACAGTGATAAATATACGTTCAATTGGATCAACGTGTTTGTTGTCCTTTGACGTTAACCAACATCAACAAAAACTAAATGATTGTACCATTATTTGCAAAAGGTATGTGCTTTGCTTTGATGGATGATCCATTCTATATATATATGTTTGTAAATCCATGACTTCTAACTGTGCAGGTGCAAATAAAGTCAATAATGTATTATTTAATATGAAAAGACAAGCTTATGTTTATCTTCAAATCAGTGTTGGACAGCGGTCACTGATTGACGTGTAGTTCTTTCAAGGAAAGTAAACTGCCTCACGTGACCTGGCGCCATAGTGGCCGACTGATAGTGGACATTTACCTCAAAAGAACCCGTATGATATCAAATTCCGGGTACAGGGTAAACTGGTGGGTACAGGGTAGGGGAAGTATATTCGATTCTATACCAAGTTTTATCCTATGCCAAGTAGAGTTTTAGGGAGATAAGTTGATAAGATATATCCCGTATCCTGATTTTGAGGTTTCCATATGCAGAACCTCCATATCTCCCGCCATATCTCCCGCTTCGGTGCATATCTCCCTCTGGATAAACCCCATATCCAAAACCTCCCAGTACATAACCTTTATGGATCTACATAAGATAAACAAGGGGAGCATGGTGCACAATTGTAACCAATTAAATGTGGCTATATTCATAACCTATGGATAATGATAACTATAATTCATTCGTATTGTCCCCAAAACTCTGGCCTATCCTCATGATTTAAACACTCTGTTTCAATTACCCAAATGCGAGTAGGTAGTTACCAGTTTCACCACCAGGTGGCTGATTCGGGTCAATTAACATGGCAGGTATATAAGAAAGTTCCCCTAAACTTGAATATTATCAATTTAAGTGGCCCAATTTTCATATAACCCTTGTGCGTCTGATACTTATACTAATGAAAATATGTCCAGTAAAGCAAAATATTATCTGTCCACTAAAAGAAAAGATATTTCATTTTTTGTGATTTTATAGCATTGGGTCTATGGGGAATCTCCCCGAGCTAGAAGTCACATTTTCAAGGAAAATTAATTTTTTAAAGTTGATAAACACTTTTTAAAACCACATTTCTAGATGTCATTTTACATGTAGATTTCAAATATGATATTACTTTGACTGAAATTTGAATTTTTAATGACGTAAATCAAGATTATTTCTACTCGCATCTGGGTTATTATTCGATAATGGCTTTTGGTTGCAAAATGACCTGTATACAGTAATAAATCGATGAAAAGATATGCCAAGCTTTTGAACCCAATAATTTGTTTAAAGATAAGACTTTCAATCAAAATATTAATTGCCAGACTTTTTAATTCATTGAATTTAAATGAGAATGATTAATTCATTGCTTCATATAATATGATAAAACGGGTTGTGCATCATTTTCACTTCAACGAGAACAGTCCTTGATGTAAGCTCACTGCATTTTAGGCAATTTAAACTCATTTTGGAGAGGGTTTGTAAATGTATTGCAGTCTATACCTAATGGGTCAATTTCTGGGTAGAACTTTTTAGACACCATCCAACTGGTGCAAAACAAATTTTATTCATATTAAAAATGAAGGAGTTGCGGTCTTATTTGAAAGAAACACTAAATTAATTAAAAGTCTCAAAAATGTCAAATTAGGTACCATTGTAACAATGCTATGCCTTTTAATTAAAGATTGTTTATGTATTTGCCAGTATTACGGTACTCCACACGCAATTACATATTCCCTTAGTTTTACTTTGAATGACACTTTAAAAATTGTTAATTTGTGCATGCTTATTTTTATTATTAATTACATTTTGAATGCCAATAGTTAAGATTGTGCAATTAACAATAACTTTAGATTACATCATTGTTACCTCATTTGAGAAACAATAAAACAATCGATCCATTATTGTATCAAACTATTGTTCCTCATTTTAGATGACTTTATTGCCACATGCAAATGTATCGGACATTTCGTGACAATATTGTTTTTTAAAAAAATCATCCAAAATTTAAACTGGTAATTACAATAAGTCACCCGTTGTATTTTTGACTCTTGCTGAGAATGTCTTTTGGAGGAAAAGGTTAACGATCGTCTCCAGATGGCTGGCATTTGAAAAAGTTAATTTCGTGTGTGTCAAATTCCATATAAAGACGGACAAATCAGGAATTCTAAAGCTCTAAAAATTCATTATTATATGAATTAAAAAAATAATTCAAACACTGTATATCGTAACATACAAAAGTGATACAGTATCTTTCGTATATAACAAACACTCGTATAACAGATGACATAGTTAAAACCGATTAAAATGGCCAACGTACAGACTAAAGATTCGGGGAAAAAATTGACATTTAAAACAGGTTGATGCCTGTTATGTTATCTTTGTCCTCTTTCATTTGCATGCACTACTGCAAAATACGCGCGATGAGACATATAGACACATATACGACATTCTCAGTGCATTGCAGAGAAACACTGCACATTTTCTAGCTTGTCTGAGACATTGTGTATCCCCCGTGTAACAGACCTACCTTTACTACTCCATTAAGCCAAAGATATAAATTTCCATATTTGGTAATACACTAACACCCCTTTGACTATTCTCTAGCTTTTTGCTGCACTTTTTGGGGGTATTACGATCTTTTTGAATTCATACCAGGGCCTCATCTCATTTCTTCTAAGCCCTGAGATGTTTCTAAGCCCTGCTATGAGTATCAGAATGTACCAGGGCTGCAATTGATACTGAGATGATACGTATAATTATACCGCACATACGTAGAATACACGTTTGAAATCATTTTGAAATAAGCTGAAACACACACTCAATGACTAATATATGCTATAAATGTTGGCGTAAAATCAAAATCCAGAATCTATAGTTACGTTTATTTGAATAGAATAATTCATGTGATTATTATAATTTATATAAAAGAATTCTTAACAAATGCTCAATACGCAAATGTCATTTTGTTTATATGGCGATCAGTTATACAAATTGTTTTAACCGAAATAAATATAGAGACCTCTTATACTAACTGTTGTTTTAACCGAAATAAATATAGAGACCTCTTATACTAACTGTTCACTTGTCATATCATTCGATAATGAACTGCATTAATTGTAATTTATTGAACGGTGCTATACCTACAATATTGTCAATATGATATATATCAAAAGTTAGTTAATATGACATATACTGCTAAAATACATCAAATCTCAACAGGTACAAAAACATTACAAATCAACAGGTCTAGATTATATGTTCTCAAATTTCAAATGGACAAGTGGGCCCTTGGTAGCGAAGTTAAATGAAGATTCAAAAGACAAACAGAGTTAAATAATGTGTAGATCTTTAGTTTTACATTGAGCAAGGTTTTTTATAACTTTGAAGAATTTGTGAACCTTAATTCGAAGGGTATGATATTGTTAACTGTAGATAAGAAAAAACTAAAAATCACATGTAGTCATAACATCTCCAAGGGAAACGTATTTACACATCTTATATTTACTTGTTATTAAGTGATGTCACGTTGATGGAAACAACTATTATGTCATCTTACACGATCAATGAGATATAACTATCCTATAATGAGCCAATTAGGCAATAATTTACGAATTAATATAATCAGAACAAAAAGCGTTTCGTGCGGTGAAACCCTGAGTTACATAGTAAATGAAGACCTCCGACGTTTTTAAAGGAGATTCCGCTAGGTGCACGCAGAGGGGAAACTACGCATTACATACAAGTCATGTGGACTTGTGTACAAATAAATTGCAAAACATTGCGTATCTTATTTCACACGAAGATCAAACCATGTTTACCAAATTAAATTAGCGATTCAAGTAACTAAAGACTTATCTGTACATGTTTGTCCTGGAGCTTTGGACCTCTGATATTTTTTATATATTTTTTTAAATTATATGTTGATTTCTCAATTCACCCCTTATAGGGTATAAGAGTACAAAAGACAAAACTAATACAGTAATACACATTAAAATAACATTTGTATATATGTACATTTTTTGCCCAGCCTCGATTAAAAATTTACAAAGTTTTATATTATGATGTCATCTGTTTTGTATACTGACGAACTCTACACAGGTGCCAATGCAGGTATATGCAGGAGATGAAACTCTCTTTTAACGCCAAATCAAACTGTTTGAAAAAGTAACAGTGAACCATGTTAATTCTCCCAAAATAGCTAAATAGCAAAGAGATAAACCAAAAAACAGGACGTGTAATATCTTATCAAAAACATATTCATATAGTATACTATATCGCGCATAAAATCTGCACTCACAAGGCATTTGAACTACTAGATATAGTATCCGTTAGAATCGGCGAAGATGTATCAAAGTGTCGGATTGACGTTTAGAATATTGATAAGAATGATGATTACAATATTATATTAAAAATCACTTTCATTGATGCTTCGGAATCTATTCGTTCTGTATTATTTGCATTTCAATTATGAACTACGGTCGGAATAATAGTGATTCCAATACCCGAAGGAAGTATTTGCTTATTAGCTTTCTAAGCGAACCCGATCTATTGTCTGCAACTCATGTCAGTTTCTAATAGAAGAATAACAAAAAGACAGGCATATGTATTTAACATTATTTGCATTTAGTTTGACTAGTAATTATGATTGTCTAAAGAAAGCCATATTGTCGGTGATAGAGTCCGGCAGCGATAGGGGACGTGAAGGGTTCTGAAGGGTCGGGATCATTATTGAGGGTCATATACTACTATTCAGTAGGGTCACTAAACGCAATATTGGCCTAAAGATCACAACTATGCAAGGTGTTATGTCCAGCAGTGATGGGCAT